TATACGTCCTAGACTTGTGAAAAAAGCGAAAGTTGTGTAATCAAGCTAAATATCTAATATCATCCATAATAACTAACTTCCCATGGGAGAACATCTTCGATAGAGCTTAACTTGACAATACTAAGGCAATCATTCATGATAATGGCATTAAGAGAGTAAGAGGCCATCAGCTAACATGCAAGCTTGGCGAACTGCCTCTGCTTCAGCGGACAAAGGTGACGCTTTAGGGAAAGACCTAGCAACACCAGCCATCAAAGCACCATCCTCCTTGCACACCACCGCCCCCACACGCAGCCCTCGCACGCTTAGGATCAAAGGAACCATCACAGCTTAACAGAACATCAGGAACAGGAAGTGAAGGCTGTACCTCTGGAACCAAAAAGCCACCTGTTCTGGGAGAAAAAGCACTGGCCACCCTGACTTGATCAATCCACATGCCTTGGGCACATCATTTAAAAAAAATTAAAATTAGACAGCAGATTTGAAAAACATAGCTATTTTGAAAAATCAAAGTTATTTGGACATAATTCATTAATTTAATTATTTATAATATATTTGATTGACAATGAATTTTAATATTTATAAAAATTCATAACTAATTCAATAATTATGATAAATTAAATTAATAAATTATGTATAAATTAAATTTAAATAATATATTATTAATTTTTAAAACGTTATAGTAATATTAGTCTTTAAAGTCAAATCATAAAAAATTTATTCTTTATGAATTTCTTAATTCTAACGTAAAAAATATGTTTTTAACCAAATAAAACAAAAATTAGTTAAAATACACGTACACGGACCAAAACCCCATTCACTATTGAATAAAAAAAGAGCAATGATATATAAATCAAATTTACGTCACAAATCAATAAGAATTATTGAATGGGTGGGTCAGAGTTCGCACTGGGTGATGGGTCCTAAATTTATAGGCGGGCACGCTTCACGAAAACCAAAGGGCTGCTCAACCCATTAACAAGCCACCACTGCAAATTCTGTGAGTTTTTGCGATAGATATTAGTATTTTAAAATTTGATCTTGAAATTATTACCATTAATTATAAATTTTAAAAAAATTATAATTTAAAATAACCTATAAAAATTCTTTTTTTTGGGTACATAAGAGCATCACTAACTGTGACTCAAATTTTTACTCAAATTTAAATTACCATTTGAGTAAAAAACTTAATTTGATACAAAATACTTTAATGAACAAAATTAGATTTAAAGAAGTAGAAATTTAAATTTAAATAAGGACAAATCTAAATTTAAAAGAGAGTAAAGATGATCATTAGATCTTTAAAAGATATAAAATCTCACCATTAAAGATTTGTATAAGGATTNAGATTTAAAGAAGTAGAAATCTAAATTTAAATAAGGACAAATCTAAATTTAAAAGAGAGTAAAGATAATCATTAGATCTTTAAAAGATATAAAATCTCACCATTAAAGATTTGTATAAGGATTTAAATCTCTGTTAATTTGAGTAAAAAAATAAGTCTCTTTTGAGTTAATATAAATTTGAGCCAAAGATTGAACCAAATTTTTTGAGTTTTTTTACACAAATTTTAAATTTAAATTTAAATCTGAATCAAATTACACACTCTAAAATAAATATATAAAGAAATGTTATCTCCCAACACTACAAATAAGAGACCCTTTCATACCTATTTTAATGTTCTGTTTGGTACGATAANGTCAAAGATTGAACCAAATTTTTTGAGCTTTTCTACACAAATTTTAAATTTAAATTTAAATTTGAATCAAATTACGGACACTCTAAAATAAATATATATATATACCACTCCACATATCTATCAAGAAATGTTATCTCCGAGCACTACAAATAAGAGACCCTTTCATACCTATTTTAATGTTCTGTTTGGTACGATAAAAAAATAAAAGAATGAAAAGTTGAAAGAATAGAAAGTTAGAGAGATAGATAAAATATCATGTTTGGTAAGGAAGAAAAGTAAGAATGATGAAAAAGTGGATGAATTAACTTTCCTTCTAACTCACCAAAATCAATCCCTNGGAAAGTAAGAATGATGAAGAAGTGAATGAATTAACTTTTCTTCTAACTTATCAAAATTAATCCCTTCAAAATCGGAAGAAAAGTGGATGAAAAATTAATTATTTGTGTTGAGATGTATCTTATTTGTCTATATATATTACATATACATTAATTTCATATAAAAATATAATGATAAAATATGTATATATATAAAAATAAAAAAANACGTATACATTAATTTCATATAAAAATATAATGATAAAATATGTATATATATAAAAATAAAAAAAAATAACAAATTTAAATTTAAATTAAAAAAATATATTTTTTTCATCTTAACTAGAGGTAAAAATTCGACTTAATATGATGACACGACTCGAACTCGACACAAATTTTATAACACGAACTTGAAAATAACATGACACGCGAACAAAAAATATAAGATTCATAATTTTATGACTCAACACGAATCTNAATAACAAATTTAAATTTAAATTAAAAAAATATTTTTTTTTCATCTTAACTAGAGGTAAAAATTCGACTTAATACGATGACACGACTCGAACTCGACACAAATTTTATGACACGAACTTGAAAATAACATGACACGCGAACAAAAAATATAAGATTCATAATTTTATGACTCAACACGAATCTGACACGACACGACTTGATTGTCAACCCTAATTTTAGCCATTACAAAAAAAGAATTAAAAAAAATTAATTATTTTTATTTTTTATCTATACAACCAAATACAAATTAAAAAAAAATGCATTATTTCTACTTTCCATTCAATCTCGCGTCTCTTCCGCCCCATATCACCCAATCAAATATCAATATTCGTCCATTTGGGTCTTACAATTTACAAATTCTGAGAATCTGACACGTCAAGATCAACGGGATTTGCATAATCCGGCAAGGGTAATATAGTAAGAGTGAAATAGGAAAATAACAGAACTCTGATAGCCATGGTGTAGTCATGCATGCCATCAAACTACACGCGTTACAGTGAAAAAGGACAATTCACGTCGGTGCAATGAACTGAGGCGTCACCGCCTCAACTTATTCATTTAAGACTTTCTATCCAATCGCTTTTGTTTGTAAGCGCCAGAACAAACAAACCCAAAAACAAACAAAAGACAACTTGCAAATGCTTGCCTTTTCCAAATCAGATAACACATTCGACCTATTTAAAACTAGCTTAAAACCAAAAAATAAAAAATAAAAATAATCTGATCCGTTTTGAATAAAAATAATTTTTATCAGCATCAAAAAAAGTTAAAAAATAAAATTTATCTAAGGACTAATAAAAAAAATTAATTTTTTTGNGTCATCAAACTACACGCGTTACAGTGAAAAAGGACAATTCACGTCGGTGCAATGAACTGAGGCGCCACCGCCTCAACTTATTCATTTAAGACTTTCTATCCAATCGCTTTTGTTTGTAAGCGCCAGAACAAACAAACCCAAAAACAAACAAAAGACAACTTGCAAATGCTTGCCTTTTCCAAATCAGATAACACATTCGACCTATTTAAAACTAGCTTAAAACCAAAAAATAAAAAATAAAAATAATCTGATCCGTTTTGAATAAAAATAATTTTTATCAGCATCAAAAAAAGTTAAAAAATAAAATTTATCTAAGGACTAATAAAAAAAATTAATTTTTTTGAAAACACTCTAAACAGTTTCAAGAGTATTTTTAACTTTTAATTTTTTGATTTTACTTTTTAAGCACCTAAAAAAATCAACTCCAAACAAGCTCAATAATTATTAACTACTAGACAATAAGTCCATCTTGTAGACATTTAATCTATGAAACACGGATATTTCGTTAAAATTGATGTATCCGTATTGGATACTAGAGGATTCATATTAAATACACTTTTACGTATCCGATAATAATTAAATACTCCATCCGTTTCTAAATATATGTCGTTTTACACAATTTTTTTTGTTCTACAATATCTGTCGTTTAATGAAATCAAAACATAATTAATATTTTTTCTTTCAAATTTACCCTTATCTATGTTTTTCAATAAGTGTTTAATAGATTAAGTATATGTTAAGTGTCTTTCATATTTCTTTCATTCCCAACACGTATTGAATAAGAGTATTTTAGTCTTGTACAATTATTTTTTACTCATGTTAGAGCTATTTAATAGCTTCTTTAATTCCTGTGTAAAAACTTTAAACGACAAATATTTAAAAATAGATGGAGTATTAGGATACTTCACGGATACTTTTGTAGTAGAACAATATATATAATTTTTCAGTTGAACTTTTAACATCTCTTTTCGAATTCATATACCATACAATACATTAACAAAATTTTATATTACTTCAAAAATACATGAGTGTTTTTTAAGTATTATCTACAATTGCATGTCAAAAGACTATATAATAAAACTATTACATTATAATCTTAACAAAAATTACTTCTAAATACTAAGTATATATTAATTTTAATTCCTTTAATTAGTCACTTCATTTTTGTGAATATACCACAGCGACACGATATATATTTTCTTAAAACTTATTAATTTTTCTTATTATATGTTAAAGAACTACCAAAATATATGTGTTAAGTTGGTTAAAAATAATAAATATATTTTATTATAACCATATCCTGACCGTACCCGTATTCTATTTTTTTAAACTCTATCATATCACCGTATTCGTATTGTATCATACTTTTATTTTGTATCGATATTCGTGCTTCATAGCATTTAATGGTAATAGGCTCTCACACTTTATATGGTATGACTTTATAATTTTTGATCAAATAATATTCCTTATAAGTATAATAAATTGAGCTATACTATTGGAACTTTAATTTATTGATCTAATTTATTATAATATTTGAATTATTTGTAAGCCTTATCAAATATTAAAAGTTAGTGATAATTCAATAATTCTACTAAAATTACACTAGGTTAATAAATTACATCAAATTTTTATTTCCAATCACACATATTAAGTTCCTAAAACACGTACCCACAGGACATTTCCAAGTGTCAAATCCTTCTTCATTCTCTCTTTATGTTGCCTTCTTCTCATAGGCCAACCCACCACCTTAAATGCCCCACGACCTCCTCTACAACCCCACATCACCTCACCTTTGTGTGCCTCAAAAGTCTGAGTTTGCTCCTCCATTACACCAACCTCAGACGACTCAGACCTACCCGGGCTTAACAAACTCTTCACCTTCAAAATGATGCAAACCATGAATTCCTACACTTTAACAGCAAAAACAGCTGAGATCATGGCTAGGTACAGACCCATAGCTCCAAAACCGGAGGTTACGGCGAACGCAGCGGACGTGTCGGAGAACACATCAATGCCACAGAACATCCGGCAATCCGCTTACCTTAGAACCGTGTGGCCCGATTTGCAGTCAAGGCCAACAAGAACCAGAAAGAGAGGGAGGACTGCAATTGCACCACCTACTGTCAAGAGACAAAGGACTTGTCTTCAAGGACTCTATCCTATTCCTCCTCCTCAGGTAAACACTTCACCTGCCGGAAACCTCTCGTTCAATGCTTTAGGTCATGGCCCAAAAGGGTTTCCTCAGCTTATACCTGTCCCAATCTCAAATATCACCGCCCTCAACGGCGGCGTTGCAGTGGGAAATTCATGCACGTTGCCAGCGAACTTAGTCACACTACCTCTCCTCCCAATTCCTTCATCCCTTACCATCGATCCCCAACAAGCACCACCACCAGAAACCATAGGTGTTCGAGTTTGTGGAGGCAACAAAGATATAGACTTGAACACGGAAGCCGAAGATCCAGAAGAACAGGATTTCCTGCAGCAACTGCAAGGACCCACCAGCCCCAATATCATTGCCCCACAGCCGGTTCGACCGGTGGGCTCCAACATATGTGTTGGGTGCATCAGTGACGACAGTGGTCGAACAACTTCTGTGCAACTTCTCAAGAAACCAGAGGAGGTGGAGGAAGAGGTCGAGTCTGAGGCCTTGCCGGCTATTGTATCAGATTCAAACAACAAAGTCAGACTGGCGAATTCCGCTTATAAGGAAATGGTGGGTCAGCCGGAATGTTCATGGCTTGACNAATTGACGTATTCGTATCGGATATTAGAGGATACATATCAAATACACATTTTACGTATCCGATAATAATTAAATACGTCATCCGTTTCTAAATATATGTCGTTTTACACAATTTTTTTTGTTCTACAATATCTGTCGTTTAATAAAACCAAAACATAATTAATATTTTTTTCCCAAATTTACCCTTATCTATGTTTTTCAATAAGTGTTTAATAAATTAAGTATATGTTAAGTGTCTTTCATATTTTTTTCATTCCCAACACGTATTGAATAAAAATATTTTAGTCTTGTGCAATTATTTTTTACTCATGTTAGAGCTATTTAATATCTTCTTTAATTCCTGTGTAAAAACTTTAAACGACAAATATTTAAAAATAGATGAAGTATTAGGATACTTCACGGATACTTTTGTAGTAGAACAATATATATAATTTTTTAGTTACTTTTAACATCTCTTTTCGAATTCATATACCATACAATACATTAACAAAATTTTATATTACTTCAAAAACACATGAGTGTTTTTTAAGTATTATCTACAATTGCATGTCAAAAGACTATATAATAAAACTATTACATTATAATCTTAACAAAAATTACTTCTAAATACTAAGTAAATATTAATTTTAATTCCTTTAATTAGTCACTTCATTTTTGTGAATATACCACAGCGACACGATATATATTTTCTTAAAACTTATTAATTTTCCTTATTATATGTTAAAGAACTACCAAAATATATGTGTTAAGTTGGTTAAAAATAATAAATATATTTTATTATAACCATATCCTGACCGTACCCGTATTCTATTTTTTTAAACTCTATCATATCGCCGTATTCGTATTGTATCATACTTTTATTTTGTATCGATATTCGTGCTTCATAGCATTTAATGGTAATAGGCTCTCACACTTTATATGGTATGACTTTATAATTTTTGATCAAATAATATTCCTTATAAGTATAATAAATTGAGCTATACTATTGGAACTTTAATTTATTGATCTAATTTATTATAATATTTGAATTATTTGTAAGCCTTATCAAATATTAAAAGTTAGTGATAATTCAATAATTCTACTAAAATTACACTAGNGTATTTAATGGTAATAGACTCTCACATTTTATATGGTATGACTTTATAATTTTTGATCCAATAATATTCCTTATAAGTATAATAAATTGAGCTATACTATTGGAACTTTAATTTATTGATCTAATTTATTATAATATTTGAATTATTTGTAAGTCTTATCAAATATTAAAAGTTAGTGATAATTCAATAATTCTACTAAAATTACACTAGGTTAATAAATTACATCAAATTTTTATTTCCAATCACACATATTAAGTTCCTAANGTCTTATCAAATATTAAAAGTTAGTGATAATTCAATAATTCTACTAAAATTACAGTAGGTTAATAAATTACATCAAATTTTTATTTCCAATCACACATATTAAGTTCCTAAAACACGTACCCACAGGACATTTCCAAGTGTCAAATCCTTCTTCATTCTCTCTTTATGTTGCCTTCTTCTCATAGGCCAACCCACCACCTTAAATGCCCCACGACCTCCTCTACAACCCCACATCACCTCACCTTTGTGTGCCTCAAAAGTCTGAGTTTGCTCCTCCATTACACCAACCTCAGACGACTCAGACCTACCCGGGCTTAACAAACTCTTCACCTTCAAAATGATGCAAACCATGAATTCCTACACTTTAACAGCAAAAACAGCTGAGATCATGGCTAGGTACAGACCCATAGCTCCAAAACCGGAGGTTACGGCGAACGCAGCGGACGTGTCGGAGAACACATCAATGCCACAGAACATCCGGCAATCCGCTTACCTTAGAACCGTGTGGCCCGATTTGCAGTCAAGGCCAACAAGAACCAGAAAGAGAGGGAGGACTGCAATTGCACCACCTACTGTCAAGAGACAAAGGACTTGTCTTCAAGGACTCTATCCTATTCCTCCTCCTCAGGTAAACACTTCACCTGCCGGAAACCTCTCGTTCAATGCTTTAGGTCATGGCCCAAAAGGGTTTCCTCAGCTTATACCTGTCCCAATCTCAAATATCACCGCCCTCAACGGCGGCGTTGCAGTGGGAAATTCATGCACGTTGCCAGCGAACTTAGTCACACTACCTCTCCTCCCAATTCCTTCATCCCTTACCATCGATACCCAACAAGCACCACCACCAGAAACCATAGGTGTTCGAGTTTGTGGAGGCAACAAAGATATAGACTTGAACACGGAAGCCGAAGATCCAGAAGAACAGGATTTCCTGCAGCAACTGCAAGGACCCACCAGCCCCAATATCATTGCCCCACAGCCGGTTCGACCGGTGGGCTCCAACATATGTGTTGGGTGCATCAGTGACGACAGTGGTCGAACAACTTCTGTGCAACTTCTCAAGAAACCAGAGGAGGTGGAGGAAGAGGTCGAGTCTGAGGCCTTGCCGGCTATTGTATCAGATTCAAACAACAAAGTCAGACTGGCGAATTCCGCTTATAAGGAAATGGTGGGTCAGCCGGAATGTTCATGGCTTGACACCGCCGGTGACGGAGGCGGTGCATGCAAGAGGATTGGTGGGGAGGTGATGCTCAAGTTTTTGGATGAAACTGTGCCAGTTTCATCAAATGGGTTTTCGTGCTGGGTGAGGATTGAGTGGGGAAGCAGTGGCAAGAAAGACCCAATAAGCAATGGAGAGAAGAACACAATCAATGCTTTTTGCGACGCTATAAGGTTAGACTGTGAGTCCAAGGATTACCTATTTGCATGGAAGTTCCACACAAGAGCTTCTTCTGAATCTGCTTCCAACTTTTGAAGTCCATGTTGTACGAAGATGGAGGGAGGGCAATCCAGATGCACCTGTTCAGGCAACATAATTATATATATATACATATACGTAGAAAAAAAAAAACTAAAAGGTTTTTTCCCTTTCCTTTCTTCTTCTAATTCTGCCTCTCTTTTTTTGGGTTTTTCTTGGGGGTTTCACTGCCAACTTTTGAAGGTCAAGTTGTACAAGCATGTAAAGCAATCGATATGCACCTTCTGTAGCAATTGTAGATGTAATTAGACATAAATATATAGGCAAGAACTTTTTTTACCTTAGTTTATCTCCTTTGCTTCTACCTTAATGCTATTGTGATATGACAATTTGATCTAATTTGTTAATAATGTGCTAAATGATAAAATTCTAATGAAAAAATTCAGGAGTTATAATCTCACAACAACACTACTGACGTTTTATTACATCATTAAGTCAGTTTTCTAAGTTGTAAACTTCTAATAGAATTCTTCTTTTTTTAATGCAGTTTTTACCGTCTGAAAAATTCCACTCTTATATTGGTTGAGAAAGAATATGCACAACGGAGACATGATGTTGATAAGGACATGAAGTTTTGATGTAAATTGGACTTACATCTTACTCAGGAGCATCAAATAGTAAATTTTGAAAATACTGATCAACCTTGGTCATACTTTGGTGGATTCTTCAGACTTAAACAGTTGTCTGCGTATTATGTAACCTGCAAAATAGGTGGGAAGTTTAGTGTCAATGAGAATATCCAATCTGCAGTCTGCACTTCCTACAATTAATTCAAGGTTAGTGACAATTTGAAATGAAAAACAAGTTATTAATTTAGAAATTTCATTCTTTATACTTCTTAAAATCAAGCATATTTCAAGGTGACACATCATAGGAGAAGGTGATCGCAAAAAAAAAAAAAAAGAAAGAAAGTCTGCGTGCTTTAATATTCATGAGTATGCAAATTGGGCTACTATGGAACAAGCTGAAATCTTGAGGAAGTGGAAGGGAATAAAAAAAGGGAATGTGAATAAGCTCACTAGATTTTGTATTGTCAACCTTGTTTTGTATTTTCTATTGGTAAATAGATCGCACTAGGCTAAGGTTATTTTCGGAATCATGATCCTTGGAATTGAATTCAAACTATTGTTGTAACCTCTCGGACCTATATTATATTATATAATATTGTCTGCTTTAGACTACGCCCACACAACTTTAAATACAAAAGTCCAAAACTCACACTTACGTACTACTCTACATTCACTTCACTAATCGACTGAACTCTGTCCCGCCTTGGGTGATGTAGGCTTTTAAGGGAGTACTCCCACCACGATAACTGCCACCATCCCACGTCATCACCCCACCAAACCGGGGTGGACCGAGGGATGCACAGCCTTGGGTGACTTCCACACTACGAGAGTCAATGACTCTGATACTAATTATAACACCATAAATCTACATTGTACAATATGATCTCCTTTGGATTAGGTCTACACGATTTTAAAACACGTTGTACAATGAAAGTACAAATATTACACTTATGTACCACTCTACATCCATCTCACTAATTGATGTGGAATTGGGTTATCACAATTGTATTTTTGATTCAAGCCACATATTATAAATGAAAATGAAGAATCCCACTAAAGTAATTTCTAAAGAAAGCTCATTCAAAATTCAGATAAGTTGGATGAAAGAATTTCAAACCTTCAAAATTGGTATACACCGTTTCTTGACCTACACCAAAGTAAAAAATCATGTTAGGTGTGGGTACACGGGTCAACACCTGCACCAAATTAAAAATTGTTAAAGGAGTGGGCAAACGGATCAACAAAGAAGGATATAAAGACAATTGAGTACACGCGATTCTAGAAACTGGATATCTAGAAAGTGGTTTGTTACACGATATTTCCTACATATATTCCAAATCATCCTCAAAAATCATCCCAGCAACCAAATCTCAGTTCTGATAATTATTTTAATCAGAAAGCACTGTACCACAATGAAAGATAAGAGGAAAGCAACGTTGATTATAAGCACTAATTAGTGTGTTGTTTGTTTTGTTTTGGTTTTTTTTTAATATTGGTAGTGAGTCTGAAAAATCCCGAATTCTAAAATGTGTTGAGAGGGAGCTACAACGCCTCTACCATTATTAAGAAATGTATGGTTTTCATCTGGATGTATACGAAGCTTGAAAGATAAAGGAGACAAATTCTGCTTACATAAGCATAAGTCTGCATAAATCCAGTCTTGGATCAACAACTGACTTTACAAATAGTAAATGGTTAACTTTGTGCAGTATTCCATTACAAACAAATTTCAAAGTTGACATTGAAAGCAAGCAACATTTCTGTTCCAGACATGACACCATGACTCAAACCGAGTGAAACTAATGTATCAATGGATATAAAAATATACACAAATGGTCAACAAATCCATCATGTTCAAGAAAATCAATCTTAGAAGATAAATACTACCAAAGTAGCACCTAGGATCATGAAATTTTAGTAAGAATGAATGAAAAGTCAAAAGCTGGTCAACAAACAAACAATTCTAAAATGCATAGGCTTTAACTTAATTCCTCAACCTCATACAACAAATTCATCATGCTCAAGAAAATCAATCTTAGAAGATAAATACTATCAAAGTAGCACCTAAGATCATGAAATTTTAGTTAAGAATGACTGAAAGTGACCAAGTTTTGAATCGTAAAATCCAGGAGAGAACACTATATGGGCCAATTTACAACAAAATTGTATCATTTTCAACCAAAGGGAAAAAAAAAGGTACGAAGACAAAGGTTACTAAAGAAACCTGATTCTTCAACAATATGCTTGCAAAGCAAAACTACATACTGATAAACCAAACCAAGACTTATGTCCCAATTATTTGGAGTTAGTTATATGAATCCGTCTTCACCAATCATTTTGATTATGCACTATACGCTCATTTAAGTTAAATATTTTCATATCTTTTTTTATCATTTCGTTCAATATTAATTTAGATTTACTCCTACTTCTAGTACCATTAAGAAAAATTTTATCACTTTTTTGAACTGGTGCCTCTATCGGTCTACGTTAAACATGACCAAACCATTTTAATCTATTATCTCTTAACTTATTCTCAATTAGAGCTACTCCTACCATTTCTTTAATACGATCATTTTGTATTCTATCATTTCTAGTTTTTTCACACATCCACCTTAACATTCTCATTTTCGCTAAACTCATTTTGTTACTATGTTATTTTCTAGTTACCCAATATTCCGTCTCATACAAAATTACTATCCTTATAGATGTTCGGTAAAACTTACCTTTCAATTTTATTGATATTTTTCTATCACATAATATACCAAGGGTGTGTTTGGGAAAGGGGATAAAGGGGGATAACCCCTAGTTGGATTAGGTTACACTGTCCGGGGGCCCACAAATCCCTGATTTGGATTCATTTTTTTGAATGGGATAGTCGTTGGGTTGAAATCCTCGGCCCGTAGTCATTTCTCCCATTTATCCCATCTGACCCACTTTGTTGTATCCCACCATAACTTTGGGATTAGCTAGACCAGCTATCGGATTGGGCTTAGAAATACTAAAATACCCTTGCACAGTGGGCTTGGAAATACTAAAATACCCTTGCACAGTAGCAAAAATAGGGTTTTTACCCCTCCCCTTTTTTGTCTTCGTCTTCTCATTGGCCCTGTGTTACCGCAAGCGGCACCCACTGGTCCCATTGGAAGGTATATTTCTCTCTCTCCCTCTCTGTATATATATATATATATATATTTCCCTGTGTCTTCTCTTTTCTCCCTCCCAAACTACAAATAAATGAAAAATAAAATCTAATTTACACTAAACCAAACTAAATCTACACAAAATCAGTACCAGAGCCTCCTGCAACTTTATTTTATCTGGGTCTTGCAAGGGTGCTGTAAGAATGTGTAATCCCAAAGGCATGATGTATCAACTTGCTTTGTTGGTCAAGATAAAGAAGAATAAAAATCTTGGAGGAGGCACCATGCCTACTGATTTGCAAAAATGCATGAAAATTCACTGAACAGGTGTTCATAGGTTCTCGATAGATACTTTGCTGGTGGTCTTTGGATATTGCAATCAAGAACATATGTTGGACTGTCAGGTGTTTGAAATTTCAGGAGCCACCTCAAATTTTCATTATGTGGGTCAATCTTTTGAAATTTGAACCTTTGCCATGTTATACCCAGTTCATGAGGAGCTTCAAAATGCAGAACCAAAAATTTTATATACATTGCTAAACTCCAGCATATAATAGACGAAAAAAAAATCTATAGTCCGCACTCTTCCTTCTGACAATTAGGATTTCTTTGTTTTGTTAAGTGTTGGAGGCTTGTTGGTTGGTGAAATATTGTTGTCTTTGTACTTGAATTTAGATTGTTTTGCTATATGTGTTCAAATGTAGTTATGGAATGTTGAATAAGATTAAAAAAAGAAATCAATTTTATTGATTTATTCCTACGCTTAGTTCTCGAATTCTTGTTTAATGGCTTTGTTATGCTGGTCTCTTAATAAAATTGCTATGATTTGTGTTTTTTATCCCTGAGTTGATTGAAATAATGATGGACATATTTCTATATGGCCATAAAAAATATAAAACTCTATCTTTTGTTCAAAGAGTCAATTTATATTGTCAATTCAATGATTATGAATTACTAGATCAATAATTTATGTTCAAATAATATTACTCTTTATAATTTTTATTAATTATCAAATTAATAAATATAAATCATGTCAGATGATGGGTTTCCATTGAACGATAATAGGAGTTATGATGTTAAAAAAATATTTTTTTATAACATAATCCAATTTTTAGTATGAAATATATGAAAAAAGTTGTTCTCACTATAAGTAATGCTATTTCAACTTAACAATTTGATGTAATGATGTGTCCCAATTAAAAAAATTCAACAATTACAGCAATGGTAAATATCCTCGGCCATGTTACTGTTACATATTAACAAATTAAGTCATATTTTTTTCCCTAAT